ACAGACTAGCTTTTTATGTCATCTTTGATGAACATACCTGATCACCCACTGTCAAAATATCACCCACTGTTCAAATAGGAGAGGAAAGGTTGAAGGTCCGTAGGCCGAGAAACAAAAGATAATTCGACTGGGAAGGACAGTTCGCACAGTCGCCATGGTTGGGTACGGGTCCATTCGTCCTCGATACCCAACCTGGACAAACCATCAGAAGGGTTACTGGCGGAGTCGATCCATTCAATCCAAGGTCGAATCTGACGTTTCTGGAAAATCAAATGAGCTAACTGGACAATGGCACGAACGTCCTCTTGTCCACTGGAACCTTTAATTAATGAGGAAACAGCGGCCTCATTATCAACGAACCAGAGGAGATCACGACCGGCAAGGATGTCACCATGGACCCACGGCACGAGGAGTCCACAAAGTGTTTCGCCGGGGTAGATCTGTTGGTGACGTTCAATCCATGAATCAGTCACCTCGGATGGTACCAGGCATGAGACTCCCAAAGGAGGCGATGTCATGAGTACCCATCCAACCCGCAAGGTGCCCTTTTCAAAAGAGGCATCCGAATAAATTACCAGGGGGGATTTGGTGGCTGAGCACACCTCAATATCCCGGGGCCTGGCTTCGTGAAGCATGATGCTGAGGAGGCGTAAAGTAGTAACCTCAGCGTCTGCTAGTTCAGGAGTGGCAGCAGTTGAGGTCGCCACGAAGCTTCCCCGCATCATCGGGTCGGAGGTGTCGGGTAGCGATAGCCTCGCGGAGCTTGGCTTGGACCTTCCTCGTAGTGGAGGTCTTGGGTTGGAATCTGATGACTCCTAACCAGCCAAAGTCTCCTACGTGGACTGAAGTCCCGAGGTAATGTCTATTAGGTGCTGGCACAAAACTTTTGGAGCTCTGGGGCGGTGCTCCCAACAGCCTGAAAACCAACTGGAGGCTCCGTTGGGAGACATCGTTGTCACGAATGCACTCCACCGATAGCTCGTCATCAAAGTATGCAGCTGAGCACCCTAAGAGACATCTACGGGTGATGGCAATACCCAGTTGTGGGAAGCGATTGAAATTCACCACCGCGCTTTCGAGACCGTAAGCTAGACCCCACATACATGTAAATCTCCAGCCCAATGAGGGAACGAAAATCGCAACATTAGAGAAGGGAAGATGGGAGTCAGCGACGGGCAGGCCCCGGTAAGCGTCGGGAAGATCATCCGTACCCAGACGGATATCAAGCCACTCGGGAGGTGAGCCTACCGGAAAGGGCATTTCAGAATGCAACATACGGGCTACTGAAGCACAGAAGTCAACATTGACAGTTGAGATCGTTTCGTGCATTGTTGTATGAGCATTATGACCACTTTTCCGAGCATTGTCAATGGCTCGTTTCTTCCCATCCGGTTGGATGATGAGGAAACGTTCCACGAACCTCCACCCCCCAACACCGAAAAGATCATCCATTTCCCGTGCGGTGCGCAAAGGAGAGCAAAACTCTTTTTCAATCTCATCGTTAGTCAAGTCCAGGATGTCTTGGACATGCTCCGGAGGGCGGGTGCGAAGGAGGCGATCTAAGTCAGCCTCGGCTGCCGTTCCCAACCACTGGTCCAGGGATAGTTTTCCTTCCTGGACAATGGGTCGAAAAACCCCCGAGTGCTCCATGTCGCCCACAATGTCGAAGCCCAAAACCAGGGATCTTGCGAGCATCTTGTCCGGCCACCGTAACAAAGCGACCATGGTGGCCACAAAGGCTGGTCGTTTTCCCATCGCCACTTTCCGAGCACTCTGGCATCGAAAGGGGTTCAATGCGTCCTCCAGGGGAGTCACCGCCCGCGCCACCGTGGCCAGGACGTGGCGAAGCTTCTCTGCCCAGCGAGGGAGGGCTTGTCTCCAGGTTGCCACAGCCTGGATGACAAAGCTCATGTCCGGTTCAGGCCAGGGGCGGGGTGCAAACGGTGAGGGCAGTTCCAAGGCAGCTGCAATATGCTCTTGCTTGCCCATACCCGGCGGGAGGAGGTGATCCAGGCCTTTGGCTGCATTGCTGGCATATCTTTGGCCCGTGAGACCAGCATAGATGGCTGTGCGTTCACGGCCCCAAACCGGTGTAGGGCCCAAAGTGGACCATGACTCTTGCCTGAGGCGGCGCCACATCGGGTAAGCCTGTAGCGTAGCGAGCTCACATGCCGCCAACCTCCGGGACACCTCCGGCCAGACTGCCTCCTGACATGGGAGGAAAGGAAAGGTGGCTTGTAATTCTGCACACACTTCACCTGCCGAGAGGATACCCGGCATAGTCGCCAACCTACCCGGGCTCCATACTGTATGGCATAGGCGTTCAGCAAGGCCTAACTCCTCCACATCAAAGGGCTGCTTTGTCAGCTTGGCCTCCATGATGGATGGAAGGCAGCACAGAATCGCCATGACACTTGGAATATGGAAGCCGTTGCCCAGCAAAGAGTTTCGTAGCTTTGTTCGCTGGTCTTGTGAGCCCTGGACTGCATGGGTGGCGGCCACAGGCACACCCATCAATTGGGACCGCTCGTCTGGGGAGGGCTGTCTCCAGTTGTCACCTGACCACAACAGCGAATTCTCCTCATAAGCTGCCGGTGGGAAACGACGATTGTCCTGATGGAACCGTGCTGCCGCTGCCGGTGTCACTTGTGCCAGCCGATCCGTAGGGTGGAAGAACTCGCGAGTGAAAGGGTGCATAGCACCAGAGCCTTGCGCTTGCATCACTTGCTTGCGGTCCAGCATCGGCCGGAAGTGATCATCCCACCATACCTGAGCAGGGATAGGCTTCTTTCCGCAGTAGTGTAGGGTCGGATGTCGGCTCCCTGAGCCTTGCTGCCAGACCCAATCTGAAGGCGGCGTGCCCCTCGAGGACAATCCTGCGCTGCGGGATGCCAACCAGTACAAACGGCGGCGGTGGACCCAGCCACACCCAGCCGCGTCGCTCAGCACCGGTTGAGCGCCCAACCATGTAGAGTACTGTTCACAAACGGACTGGGGCATACTGGCGACGTTCTCCAGGAATGTGATGACTTCACAGGTGCGGGCTTCCGGAAGGGCCAAAATCTCCTCCCGAAGGCGTCGGAGTTGGCTCGGTTGTTGAGATCTCGGGTCATTAAGACCCTGCCTGCCTCGGTTCAAGCTAGAGTTGCCTTGGCACGGGGAACCACCACCCAGGATGATGCCCCGTACTTGGCGCCGTTGCAAGAACTGGCGGAGGTCCGCTCCCTTGAATTCCTCAACTGAGTCAATATGCACCAAATTAGGCATTGCAGCCTGTGCAGCGGCACTAGCCACCGGGTCACTCTCAGCGCTGATTGCGTAGATGTGAACACCGAGGGCAAGCAATGCAATGCACAGTCCACCAATGCCCGCCCAGAGGTCCAATACCAGCCAAGTACCTCGAATAGATATACCCCAAGGGAACTGTGGCAGGTCTCCTCTGCCACGCCATGTCACCGGTTTTGCCCCGACCAAGCGGGTAGCTAAAGCCGAAGGGGTGAGCTCCATAGGCTCGCGCAAGGTGATCTGCCGCACAGCCCCCTGAGGTGGCGCCGTGGTATCCCTCTGCTGCGCTGGATGCTCAACCCCCCGCAGCTCACAGGCTGCCAGGGGGAGATGTCCCTATTCGCTCGGATGCTCGAGCCTGGTGTGGGGTCCCTGGCACGGCTTACCTGTCGGCAGCTTGACATCACACTTGTGAACCTGCGGGCACTTCGTGTTTGCACAACCGCGTCCATCATTCCAAGGCTTGCACAACTTCAGGCCCCCTTTCAACATAGAGATGGTCTGGTACGAATCCTGCTTGATCTGGCGCCGTTTGGGTGCAGGAGGCACAGCCTCACTGGCACCCGGGGCTGCTCGTTTGGGTGCGCCTGCAGGCTCATTGGGGACGGCCTGAATGGCACTGGCGCGCCATTCAAGGTGAGTCTCACGCAAGGCCTCTTGAAGTGCTTCCCAACCATTGTAACCTTGCCGAATGTAACTTGCCATCTTGGTACGTGTCAGCAGGTCGTTGCGCTCCAACCACAACCTGGAGCCCTGGCCGAATTCCATGGCACTGGAGAGCGCGTGGTCAGCGTAGTTCAGGGCAGCGGTAAGGGAGATAAATACTGTCTCCTTACCATCATGTCCCCGCTGCTGGTGCAACCCTGCCCACGCCCATGCATAGGCCAAAGTACGGAGCGACCAGTAGTAGTCGACTACAGTGCGAACAGAGCGGGCCTCCTCCGTGTGGAATTCAAGCTGGATGCCTTCTCCTAGTTTCACCGCATCTTGTTGCCGTGGTGTAGCCTGGTGAAGGACTGACTTGATGCGAGAGGCTGGTACCACCGACATAGTCCTCTTTCTGAATTCTCTGTAAACCCGGGCTCTCAGAGCGTCACTGGGTTCCAGCGTAGCCTCCACGATGAGAGCATACTTGGATCTGAAGTCGCGGTTGAGCTGCTCCATGGTGGATTCCGGGAGTGGGTCATCCACCCCCTCAGATGACTTAGCAGCCTGGGCCGCTTGCTTGATGGCCTCCGCCCCTGCTGAATAGGCCGCACGCAGGCGAGCCTGTGTCAGCCGGTTGTCCTTGAAGGGTGTAGGCGCCAACAATGAATGGATGGCCGCCGTGACGTCCTTTTCGTCCACAGAGAAAATGAAGTCCTCCAAGGTCTCCCATTTATGTGCACGGATCACGGCGTCAGCCCACTCTGGGAGGACGTTGGAGCCACTGAGACAAGCAGCTAAGCCACGGTCATCTTGGAGAGTATCAATCTGGTGTCCACGGCTCATGGCAGGGCTCCGAGGGTCTAGCAGGTGCTGGGAAACCCAGAGCACACTGGGCCACTCAGGGGCGCTGCACTCTGAGATCGAGCGATTGAAAAACTGGGCTGTTGCAGAAGTTGGGCCATGGTTGCGGTGTCGAAGACACATCACAAACGCACGTAACCCGAGGACCCTTTCTCTCACCCTTGCCCTCCTACGCGGGGGTGGTGGATTAAGGGGGGTTGCCCAAACGCGAAAAGGAAAAACCTTCGATCGACGGCGGCCGGCGGGTCCCCGTGGTCCCGGAGCACAGGCGATGAGCTACCCATCAACTCGTCACTGACCCCAAAACCCGACCCCACCCCACACACACGTCGACGAGGTTGTGTGATCGAACGATGGGCTCCAGCCGGGCGGACCGAGGCAGCTTTTTCATACCACACGCGGGGATGTGCTAGTTCAGCCACCCGCAATGCCGCGCCAGCGCCCGGTACAATCCCCTGGGCATGCGAGCCAAGCATCGTTGGCAGAAACGCTGGCGCGATACTAAGGAGAAGCCCTCTCCTGTCGATCGCGGATCTTGGGAGAACGGGGCGTCGCGGCACCACGGCAGCAGACGTCCATCCGATTCCCCTCGGATGATGTGAACCTTGGCCCCTTGCACCATCCAATGCGTGGACACGGCCACGTCATCGTCAGAGAGGGCGCCCTCCAAATCGCTGGCTTCATTGGACACATCGGAGGCTGATTCTGAGGAGTTCGAGGAGGTATCCGTGACGGATTCGTTGTCAGCTGCTTCCGGTTCCGGTTCTGGCCCATTGTCCACCGGCAATGTGGGGTCCTGGACATCCGCTGAGCCCCTGGCAGTGGCATCATCTGTAGGCATGTCCTGCTCGATCTCGACCGGTGGTGGTGCCGGGAGCTCAGTCCCAAGGTCACCAAGGCGCTCATTCTGGGCAGCGAATTCTGCCCAGGTCCAACTGTCCCGGGGGTGCAGTCCCTCATCCGTCAGCGCCAATTCCGCCTTCTTGGCATGGTAAAGGCTCATGAAGCGCTTCAGCAGTGCCTTCTTCACCTGGGCCGAATGAAGAGCTCGTTGGCCGCTATAATGAATCCCCATAGTCCAGGTGGCCCGTGACTTCTGGTTGGGGATGGGTCCCCGCCAGTGGGGATCTCAACCCAATTGCCAATGGCCTGTTGGTCCGCCGGGGTCAACCGGACCACATTCCCAAGAGTGGGGAGGAACCGTCTCAAACGGTTGAATCCCGCAGTCTGGGCTTGGTCAGGAGCCGTGCCCAGGTCAAGGAGGGTGCCCCGCAGAAGCTCCAAAAAGCGTCCTCTGGACAGCTTGCGGTCCAAAGCCCAAGGGGTGTGTTCCGTGACCTGCCACAGGTCCATCGGGTCCAGCTGCAATGCCGGCCACAAGAACTTGCACCCTGGCAGAAGCTCCATGGTGACAAAGTCCTGGATGACCTTGACCAAGCTGAACCCTGGCCATGGAATGTCAGGCATAGCCCATTGGAAGGCAGGCCGGGCCCCCTGGCGCCGCGCCTTACCCTGCGAGCATGTGAAGAACAGGGCATTGGCCGCCAGGTGGTCAAACTTAGACCGTTGAACATGCTCGAATCTGATGCAGGATACAGCCGCCCACAACATAAAGGCCAGCACCAAGGTGTTGGTGCCAGAACTTTGGCGAAGCTTCAGGATCATGTTGATGAACTCCCACGGTTGCAGTTCGAGCTTCTGTTGCGAGGTATGTCCCACAGGAAGCAGCTTGTAACCGCGCACCATCCAGTGGTCCAGCGGGAATTGAACCCCGAACTGTGACCGGAACCAGTTGAGGGCGTGGAACATAGCGGATGCTGCTGTGGGGCCCCCGCGTGCCACCTCCTTGAGGAAGGCGCTCAACCGCAGAGGAGTAGGTTGCCGTACATCGAACCCCAACCTGAGGGCAAACTCCCGCCACCTTCGCAAGGTGCTCGCCAGAGCTCCCAAGCGATGGACTGAAAGCCTGTCGGCGGCCGGCATAACAGACTCCTTGAGGAGTTGCATCCTGGTGGCGTCTTGCAGCTGGGTTCGGGAGACCCCCAATTCCTCCAGGTCGAGGAAGTCCTGGATCAAGAGCTCGAACAAGGTCTGGGTTTTGGCCATCTTGGCTGCTTGTTCTTTCACATAGGGATCTCGGGCTGCAAGGCTCATGAGGAGCGGAGGTTCCCTGACCTCTCCTGTCTCCAAAAGGCGGCGCACCGGCCGAGCGGCCTGCTGTGAAGGTCCCTCTGGCTTGGCTGGGGCCGAGGTGGAGACTGCCGACTGGCGGTGGATGCAGATCTCCCTCAAGTGCTTGCGCTGTGAGGCTTGAGCCCTCTGAGACGCCAAAGTCCAGAAGGAGACGATGGTGAAGCCTTCCTCCGCGGACACCGAGCCATGGCGCCCTTCCAACTCCTCGAGGAGCGCACCGCCTGTGGGCCACAGGCTATGAACATCCTCACAGGTCTGGACTCCCAGGTCCACGAGGTGATTGAGGAGGTTGATCGGCCGGTCGACCAGCAGCTCCTGTAGCATACCCTCCATGGGTTGGTCCGGCTTCAGCGCCCCGGAGCTGCTCGATGAGGTAGGCGCGCACGCCGTCTGCGGACATGTTGAGGGCGGTTCCCAAGGCGTCGAGGCGGATGACCTGGTCGACCTCATGGAAGTGCGGGGCCGACTCTTGGGTTCCAAACCCTTCGATCTGGACCGCCGCCTCTTGCGCTCCGCCATGGTCCGCCACGCAGGGAGGCCAGTCGCTCCTCACGGGGTAGCACACTGGCCTCCCTGCCCCTTGCCCCGCCTCCACCGCCGTGCCACCACCCTCCACGTAGCCCGCTCAGTGGAGAGGATGGCGGGCATGGCAAGAAAAAGGAGGGGAGCCCCCAATCTTGAGCCAAAATGGCATCCAAGATTGAGGATCCCCGCTATATGTTTCACATCTCAATATGTCCCTACCCAACCAACCATTCATATTGATTGATAAAGATCAGATCATGTATAAATATAGTATTGATCGATTTTTTTGCCTGTACATCTTGCAGTAGACCCCGACCGCGACTGCTTCTTCCGTTCATTCACAACGCCCAAAGCCTGGCTCGCGACGCCGTGGCTCAAAGCAAACAGCAATGGACCCATAATGACACAGACTACGATACAAAATGAGGTCTCTGGTTGGTGGATTCAACTCAATTGAACCAAATAAGAGTCAGTGGGTTCAATCATCCCAAGTAGAATAACAACAACATAGTTTTGCACATAAAACCAGCAGCCAGGTCTCTGTTTTTCTCCCCCACCTCTCACCCCTTGCAGACGAGAAACCTCCTGCCACACCCACTCAGCCCACCCTACCCCGTCAGGCGCCACGTTCGGATTCCTCGCAGTCCACGCGGAGGCGTGTGCGGTGGCGGGGTTCCCCAGGTAGGTCCGAGCAGATTGAAGCTGGGACCGGGGCGGCAGGTAGCTCAGCGCTGCCACTGAAGCGCCCTCCTTGGTGCTCGACCGAAGATCGAGGTGTTTTTCCGTTAACTGTCATTCAAATCATATATATATATATACACACTATATATTCAAGTTCTGCACATGTATATATATATATATATTCAATATTAAACTATATATATATATATATATTGACTACTATGCAACCGTACACACATATATAGTATAATATAGTAACTATAATTATCATACATATTGTCATAAAGTTAGATATGGTTGACAAATGTTGACAACATAGATGCTTGCTGATACTTGCAAATGGTGTCAGCCGGAATGTTCATCTGCCCTATCAAAGCTGCCCCTGGGCACCAGGGTGATTAAATGAACATGTCATCAAAGATTTACAACTGTTTGAGAAACATTGCATTCCACCCACCAACAACCCTTGAAGAATTGACAAGGCCTTGACGGATATTGCCAAATCTAAATCAAACCGGGGCCACCAGTCAAATCTAAGTCAAACCTGATATTGCAAATCCAACACCAGTTAGATTCGCTAGATAAGCCACCAGAAGTTAGTGAAACACCCTGAACTGCCCAACCAAACCTTCAAAATAACTTCCCCTAGGTTTTGCCGGTTTTGCATGTACTTCACATCTCAAAATCCAAGGCACATCCATGCAACATCCAAAATCGAGATAGCTCCCAGCGCCCAAATAGCACTTTTGGCGAATGCGCACTGAGTGCAACTGCTCTTCACCTGACCACCATGACATCGTGAATACGGTATTACCCCGGAAGACACGTAGCCTTTACAGTAGCCTTTTGGGCTCGGAACTACGTTACAGTAGGATCTTTTTGTTTGAAGAAAATTCGAAGGAATTGAAGGAATTTCCCCCCTTGAGCTCCTGGTCCCTATAACCTGTGGGTATCTCTTCTCAGCCACACGGTGGAAAAAAATCGTGGACAGCGATCTGCTTCTCCCTCTCTTCCCTCTCTCGCACCGCCGCCTTCGAGAGCAAAATCTGCCAGGCCTCGTTGAGATTTTCGCTCAGGGAGGTGTCAATTCGTCGTGTTTGCCCGCTTCGAATCGAGGAATGAAGCAAAATGGATCGCAAAAGAGAATAGGTTCATACTCAGACACTCCGTGTATGGAATATGTTCCTACATTGACCCCTTTTCAACCACCCGAATGTAAACATTCCATACATGGATTGTTAAGTTCATGCACCCTTACTTAGTATATCCTCTGGTGGCTGGACTCACGAATGAGCACTTTTTCACACATCGGGTGTGACAGTCTCCCTCTCCAAAATCCAGCATGAAAGATGTCAGTCTTGGGTGCTCAGAAAGGTGCCTTGTTCAGTCTGAAACAATCAAACTGCAGAAACACGCAGAACCAGATTGCGACGGTTCTCCAGTTCTCCATCACCATCACCAAGTTTGTCTATAGTGTCGAAGATCCTCTAAGCTGTATACTTATAGTTTGCCCACTTAGTGGATGCTTCCCAACACATGTTGAGCTTGTGTTCTTACGGGCATGTTCGAAGAAACCGGAGCGTAGCTTAAATGGTGATCTTGAAAACCTTCCAAAAGGGCCTTGGTAAGGGTAGGATAATCATCCCCCGGATAAGGATCACCATGACATGCCACGACTCATGACACATTTAGAGAATATTAATAAACACATGGAGCTTCTCCACAGCCACAAAATGCTCCCTCTTTGAAAACAAACATCTCAGCAGCTAAACAAAAGCCTGTGATTCTTTACGAGTACTATGAAGCTTGGCTTTCCACTGGTTTGCGGAGGTTCCGCTCGCCTGTTTCGCTGGACTTCCTTGCAGGTTCATGGATCTTCAGGTTCCTTGCAGGTCTCCAGTGACCTCAACGGACGTGACCTCCAGTCCCTTCTTCCTCCTCCAGCCCCGGTCTCCGGGGCCTCCCAGGAAGCTCTGGGACTCCACGGTGACCAGCTCACCGCCTTTCAGCGCCGTCAACCAGCTGGGCATCGTCAGGAAGGCGTCCGAGCTCACGTTCGCACCCAGCAGGAGGAGCGCCAAACGTAGGAGGCACTCCGGAACCTGAAAATGCAGAAAGTCGTTGGGGAGCAAGAAGATTCAAAAGTGACGAAGAAAAGCTCTGACTAGCTTGTAGCTCGAATAGTTGTTAGAGCAAGGGTAGTGAATAATCAACAATCTTTCGGTGATCATCTGTTGTGTATATAATTACTATAGGTGTCTCCACCAGACCCCTCCAAACATCATCCCAACCATCCCATCTTTCTTTTCAACACAATCTTCTGAATCAGTCACGGAGGAGATGAAGAGCTGCGCGCTGGGCAAGATCCAGGTCACCAGCCTCCAGCAGCTCGGCCTGCGCCCTGGCTCCAGCCTCCATCCACAGGCCAAGGAGACACCCGCCGGCTTGACAAGCAGGTGTTAGGGTGAAGAGAACGACTGCCCTATTACCCCCCATTTGGATTGAGAAACATCTTCACATGGGGGCAGGGGTTATCATAGTCAAGAGTCTACATGAGAGCCAGCGCCACGTACTGTAGGGTCTTGGGGGTCGGTTGACGTAGTTGCAGCGTTAAGAGTGCCGAGCTGAAAGATGTCATCTTTGACATTGACAAGACCGGCACCCCCAATATTCCAATGTTTTTCTCTATTCAGCCATTTGGCAGCATGATTTCGACTCCAGAGTGTCGCTGAACAACACAAAAGCAACCTTGTCCGCCTTGTCCTTTCATTTTGCTCACTTCGTTGGCCATGGGAATCTCGTTCAGTGTACACCGCCTTTGGAACTACATGGCGAAAAAACATGGACAGTTCTCTTGCAAACCCACAACATCCGCAGCTTGTGACACACATATATATATATAATATATATATATATGTGATGTGCAATTATGTGCCAAACACCCTTTGGACATAAGACATAACCAGCATCTCAGCTGGTGCCAAGCTTTCATCTCGCCCTGAACAGAATGGCCTGCCAACCAGGACCCACTTCAGCAGGATGAAGACCATCAAAGCCGCTGTACCCGCCAAGATCAGCGCCAGCGTCGCTCCCAGCATCAAAGCCACAAAACCATGAGTCACAAACCTCGAAGTACGCGGGTGATGTTCGGCTTCGCATGCTGCTAATTGAGACGGTGATTCAATGCTGGCACATCCAAGTTTGAAGTTTGTTGCAGGAGATGGGAGAGAGTTGGTTACAGGTTGTTGCAGGCACCCAAACGAATCTAAGATTTCAGATCAGGGTTGCACGCAGAACGCGCAAAAACGGACTGTAAAAAAATATTGGCTGTGTCCTTCAATGCGTTACTATAGTGTCTTGTTTAGCCCAGCGCGCTGCGAACGCGCTCGCGCATTTTCCAATGCCATCAAACTATGAGTGCTTTGCAAATACGGACTGCAAAAATACTGGCTGTGTCCTTCAATAAATATAGTCTTGTTGAGCGCAGCGCGCTGCGAACGCGCTGCAGGCGCGCTGCGGACGCGCTGGCCATCACCTAGATTTAGTTTCTCGAAAAGCAGCCCGTGAGGAGGTATGGCGCTAGCAGTGAAATAGTTGGCTATACAATTAATGGGCATCACGGCATCAACGAAACTTTTCTACCTTTGTGGAGGATATGTCTGGCCGTAGGTTGTGTTACATGTATACAAAAGCGCGTTTTTCTACCTTTGTGCCCTTTACATGCCTATGTCATTGTGTGCAACCCTGCAGATGGAACAAGTTCTAGGTCTGACTCCAGACTCCATCGGCTGAAGGATTGTCTGGTCTGAGAATCTATGGTCTAAACACCATGTGTGTTGGACATAGCCTGCATCCAAAATGCATCTTTCTCAACACTTTGGATTAGGTAGCTGCTTGACATGTGACCGTCCGAAGAAATGCAAGATGTAGAATTGCTCCATCTCTGTCGGTTCTGTCACATGTCTCCTTTTAATTTCAAGTTATCTACTTCGGCCCAAGACCGTTGGATGAAGATGTGCGTCTGGACAGTCGATCTCTCTCTCAGTGGGTCCCGAAATTGGGTGTAAAAGCATTTGGCTCAAGTCACTCCTGCAAGCCATAGAAAATCATGTAGATGAACCCTACGAAAATGTATGGATGGATCACGAGGGCATAGATCAACTTGGCCCAATCCAAACCCTCACCGTTTGCTGCATTCTCCACGTTCTTGCCGGAGTCGGCTATGTTCTCGCCCTCGGTGCCTCGGTCAAGAACTTCATCGCCTAAGAGGCGACCTGTCAATCCGTGACCTAGTTCACCGCATATCGTGGTCCCCAAATAGATAGCAACAATGTCGTTTGTGGCACTGTTTCTCGTCTTTCAGCCGCACTTCTCTTTTTGGTTCTTTCCGGCTCGGTGCGACTGAGGCCGGCCGTGTGGAACGTGATGGAATGGACCGGGGCAGGCGTTTCTGCCGGCCCGCTGCCAACCCACCGGGACTCAAATAAGCCCTACACCAGGGATTTTTCAGCTGCTTGGCTTGTAAGTGATCTGCTATGCTGAACGTCATCTGGTGGGTGAATACATGGTAGTCTGAAGGGTCTGAAATGATATCAGAACCTGTTTTCAGGTCACTAGAGTCTGAGTGGCTAGACCTACCCCACAACTGCAGGCATGTCACACATTCCTCAGCTAGCAATACCAAAGTAACTCAAGAAAATAGGTTCCACACAAGTATACAAAAGTAACATGTGATGTTTTAAGTCGTGTCAATTGTTGGGGTCTACACTTTTGATTCCGGAACTATACCCCTGAAAATTCTTGAGTTGCACATCTTAGTCTTCATCTCTCCCTCTGCCTCGGCACCTCCTAGCAGCACCACAGAGCGCGCCCGCAGCAAGGTGCCCGGCGTCAGAGTGCTGCCCGGCTCCAGGACACAGCGGGGGCCGATGGAAGAGTGAGCGGGTAAATGGATTGGCGACAGGATCAATTCACCATCCAAAAGGCAATGACACCTGAGAGTTTGAGCTGAAAGTGATACATTGAATGTTTGTGCTGATTGTGAGTGCTCAAAGTTGGTGTCGGTCCACTCCGACTAAACAGTAAGATGTTGATTTCAAAGCATTTGAGGGTAGACAACCATAAGTCAGACCTTGTAGATGCATGAACACGCATGAACACCTAACAAGTGGGGCGTAAATATCAGCAAGCCCAATTACAACATTGAGCATAACATAATTGGCACTCTGGCACTCCGGATCAACAGCGAATGGCTCGACACTCGACACCCGGCGTGAATGGTTGAAAGTAGTAAGTACTGTGCAGCGACACAAACCAAGTTTGAAATCACAAACTCTTTCACAAGTGGACAATAACATAATCTTGCGCAACTATTGTTGCAGGATGTTATAGGTCAGCAGTTGTTACAAGCTACAAACTAAGCTTGTGGATCAAGATCGCTGTAGAAGCTGCTATCCACTGAGTTGAGTCGGGGCACTTGACGCTGGATTCATCCACTGAACAGCCAGCACCAGCGCTCAGCAACTGACAGGAAGCCCGTGCGAAGATGTTGAGCTTGGCTCCATAGCCAATCTCCGCGCCAAGCGCTCGAAGCAGGGCGTTGTGCACTGGAGTTCCTGCGTCGAAACAATCTCTAGCTATGTTGGCAGTGATTGCTTAAACTCATCAAAGATCCCGCTTGGAGAGCATGTACGAGGCAAACAGAGTGAATTCACTCTTCAGTCTCAAACTGTTTGGGTAGATGTGCCATGTGCTTTCTCCAAAAGTCTGTCAGAAATGGTGTCACCCACCATCATCAGAATGGTTGCTTCGACGACGGAGTGGTGGACAGAAGTGAACATCTTTGACCTTTCGGTTGAAATGGAATGTATCCAGACCTTTAAAAAAAATGGAATGTATCCAGACCTTTAAAAAAAAAGGAGTCTTTCAGTGACTCTAGAAAGACTTTCCTTACTATTAAACACTCTTACCTTCTTAAATAATAGGAAGAGCGACTCCATTTGTACAAGGACTCTAGAAAAACATTGCCTTAATTGTACCAAAGGGTCGTATTTGTCCTTATTTGAGGCCCAACTTTGTACACGCTCCCTGAAATCATCATGGCTTCGCGGAGTAAAAAACATGTAAAGACCCACTTGTTTGGTCTTCAAACATTCCATTGTAATCCGACAATCACCATTGCCGACATCTTCATGCCATCTTCCACGTAATCATGATGATTTCACGGTCCGTGCCATTTTCAAATGGATCCCAAACACTCCGTTTTTATGGCATATAATATAATGGCTACATTCACCCTTGAAACCACCTCAATGCAAGCAAAAAATTGGCAGTCTCATGGAGTGCCTGGGGATGATTTGTCATTTCATGGTCTCCCAGTCGCAACTCCGGTCCTCGATAAATCGCGCCAAAGCGATGCAGAAAGGTCAAAGAGACATCCTCGCGCCCACTGGTCCCAGTGATTCAAAACTGCGCTGACACCCCTCCTACTTTGGAAGTCAAAGCCACCAAAGACACACAGAGACTAAAGCATGGGGGACTCAAGTTCTCTCAGAGCCACCCCGTGAAGTTTCTCAAAGTCTCAAAAGGCTCAAGCTACAAAGCAATCTATTGTGACCTGAAGGGCATCAAACTAGAAAGCAAAGAAAGGCTTTCTCAAGGACCATGCATCCAACTGCCACAGGCGCAAGTGCATCCAACCGTCCACCTCGCATGTCAAAGTGTACACACCCCAATTTAGTGGCTTCAGAGTAAATGGCACAAACCCTTAAATGAAATGTCTTTTTGATGGGGGCCTCTATAAACGACCTTTTGGGGATTATGCCATCTACTCTGAAACCACTGTATACTGATCAAATGCTCCCTGTGTTCATTGACATCCGACCGTTTTGGTCGCATCACGGGGACGGTCGAGCGCTGAAGCGCTCCCGTTGGATTGCTTTCGAGTACGTTATGTGTTGAAGCCTAGCTACGGAGGAGGAAATATGACTACTTTCTACCTCTGTTGTGGTTCATCTTTCTGGTGGTTCAACACTCTTGTCGCTTCAACGGCTTCGTCAAATATCGCAGTGAATTCCCAAGGGCGCAACAATTGCAGGGCGCCTTGTAGCGCCCCGGTGCAGGTGTTTTAGGAAAGAGCGCCAAGCGAAGGAGAAACACCTCAGGTTGACAGAGTGCCCCGCTACCTGGAGGCCAGTTTGAGGGTGACTGGGCGCCGTTCCAGGCAAATAAAATACTGATGTTGAAGCTTCACAACCAAGTGAATTCAACGCATAGAGACATCCTTGTGGGATTGCTATAGCCACTGCTCCATGGATATCAAACATTTGGTAGAGGAAAACTGGTTACCGTCGTCGATTGTTATTTTTGGGACAACAGTCGTTGGCACTGATGTGGGTCGCCAATTTGCTATATTGTATCTAATATGAAGCTAGGAAAACGCCGCATTCATCCTAGTTGCTCAGTCCCTCTCTCTAGAAAGAAACCAGTTGTTGACAGCATTGGACTGGGGAAGACTGTGGTAGAGGGTAGAACATCTACCATCACATTTGCAACTTTGATATGCCTGTTAGAGCACTGGAGAAGCTGATTATTCTCCCTGAGCCTGAGGCCGTAGTAACTTTGGCTTAAGAAGACTGACCTATTTTTGTTGAAGGAGACATGTCTTTTACATCACCATACATCACCTCAAATACATCATATTACACCATTTGCCATGTTTTGAAGGTTCTTTGGTGGTTGGAGATTTCTCTGAAAAGTGAATTTGGTGCTTCAAGCCCGCCAGGGACCAACTAATCAGCTCCAAGCAGCTTGCACCAATAGCAGTGCCCAAACACCCGCCAACAGCAGTGGGGCCAAAACCATGATGAGCCCATGACCATAAAGGAGATGCAAGCGATCCAAAGCAGTTGACAGGAGGAACATGGGCATCAAAAGGATCAGCAAAGGCGCTAGAAGGCCCAAGGTCTTCCAAGTCCAAAGAATCACCAGAGGCACCTGTTTGAGGCGGAACGAAGGCTTTGTTGAATGAAGCAACGTGTAATGACAGTGGACATGACAATGAGACGTTAAATGCATTCCATGATGTTCCTGTCCTACCTGCCTTTTCCAGAAGTTTGAACCTCCAATCACAAAAGGTTTCAGTTTACTTTCCTTTTCGGCAAGAAACATATGATGTCGAATCTTAGGCCACGTTGTCACTCCCGGCCCACCCCAGCAAATGAGATGTTCACCCCATGTTGGTTCTATCTATCTTTCAGCAGTCTTGGATATCAATAACAATAGCAGAAAGTCCCTCCTGGTTCTACTGAGGATGACATGAACACAGCTGTAAAGAAGCAACGACTAAGCTTGTGCTACAATAACGTAATTAGTAACAGAATACAATTCGCAGCACAACTCACATTCCGCAAGTTCCACAGTTGCCAACCTTGCCAGCCATCGGCGGCAACAAATACAAAACAAGCTAGCTCTGTCAAACTCCACCTCAAGGAAGGAACCACTCAAAGGTTCAGTACATCCAACATGGTTCAGTACATCCAACACACCAACTGCCCCCACACATAACAACGCCCCGGGTCGTTCTGCTGCACCACCGCCGGGCCTTGTGCTTCCCCTGCACCGTCATGGTGCTCACCATCTCCCGCCGTGTCCGCCGTCGCGGTGCCGGACACGCGGGACCCTCCGGGAACTTCGCGCGCTCGGCCGCGCGCGCCAGCGCGGCGCGGTCGGCGAAGACGGCGCTCAGGGGGAGGTGCGAGGAAGTCACCGAGGCATGGAAGACGGTGTCCTGGAATCCGCAGGGGACTGGTATGGATGAAAGGGTGCAGGACATGTTGCAGGGCTAGTGAGATGTTGGTGAATCACACATGTGAATCAATGTTGTGGGCAATTCGAGTGTTTAAGGCCTGTTGTACTCCACTTGTTTAACGTATACCAACTGACACGATAAGGTTAAATTGCTGACTAGTTTCTTTGGCCACCTGCAACAATACTGATCAGCACAATCATTACTTGCACACCCTGAAATAATTGTGGGAGTGGACAAGAGGCTTCTGAGCATTGTTCTTCTCTGCAAACAGGTGGTTTTCCGCTTCCATGTTGAATGTTGATGACATGGAGAGTATGATTTTAATGGTACAAACATGAATCCGTCAGGCAGTCACATCTTAGGGGTCCCAAGTCCTTGCCCGGACATGGTGCACTCAGAGCAACGAGCAGCCTGGCGGGACAAAGCTTGCTTGACCCATGTTGGTTGATGGAAGACGTCTATACCGTACCAATGAAAGAACTTGCAATGGGCATAGACAAAACAACACATTATATATATATATAAAGAAAAGTAATCCTTAGAGTTGCAGCTTTACTGTGGAGTGTCTGTTGTTGTTTTTCTTCAACACAGGAGTCGTTTGCCCGAAATCTGCAGGGTCTTGGACATGTTTCTTTGCGAGTTGAGCTTCGGAACAAATTAAAAACTGATCACTGATTCTACAGGTCTGGAAAGCATGTTCATGCCTGCTCTTAATCTTTGTCAGGCGCTTGGTTGTGGGTAGAATTAGAAACTCCCAACTTCGAGGAAAAAAACACACGTCCAAACATGAACAAGCATTGCCAAGCTATAAGAAATAAGTTACATAGTGTTTCCTGAACTTCTTCCTTGTATTATCGCATACACCACGTCAGTATGAAATCCTCATCAAAATCCTTTTGGAGACCAACTTGGAGCGTAACTGGAACACTATGTCATGCCCCAATCTCCAAAAGCCAACCCGGAGGTCAACCATCTCTGGTCATGTGCAGCTCTGCTCACTGCCGCAGTCCGCACCTTGCATGGAGCCTGGCCGCCCCAGCCGAGCTGGTCACCACACTGTCACTGGGTGCGTCTGCAGGCATCTCTTGCACAATCCACTCTTCGATGCGCCTGGCGAAGCCAACATCTCTTCGATGCGCCAGAAGGAGCGAGGAGCGTCAGCGAAATGGTTTGGAGATCTGAAACATGGTCATTGGAAGGGCGTACGCGGATGTTTGAAGGGCGTACGCAATCTAAACCATTTACATGGTTTGGGGTCCTGAAAACAAGGTCATGTGATGTCATGTGCATCATTGTGGATCAGCCTTTGCAGATCTTTTCAGGTAAATAAATACTCCACTCCGGTCTGATGTTTGTTAAATGTTTCTCGCAGACCGCAAGTGGAGACACTATGAGAAACTGGGCAACTGGCTAGACGAGAAGCAAACCGTTTGAAGGTCCTAGGAACTTTGGTTCCATATCCTCAACTGGCAATGGGTCAAAAACACAAATGCTTGCCAACTAAAATGAACAGCATAGACGACCAGGATCTACCAGGTTTTGCGACATTTTTGTTGGATATTTTTGGAATGTTTTGACGTTGGAAGTGCGCAGTCACCGCCCTCTTGCCGCTCACTTTGGCCCAACCCCGCTCCACGGGCCTGGCGCGCGCCGCGCGGTCGCTGGTGCCCGTCCAGTCGATGGGGTGCACGTCGCGGTCGGCGTCGGCGCCCCAGAAGTGCTTCTCGACGAGTGCCGAGCCAAAAGAGGTCTGGAAGAGTTCAGCAACCTGGATCGAGGAGGTGCTTCTCGAACGGGCTGGACGAAACATCGAGAAAATGACATTGGGAGATGAAATCGGATGAACAAAAACGAGGATGCACCTTGAATGATACATTCACACACCCCAAAGAGTCTGATTTTGGAAGACCTCCTGGTTGATGAGAATTCCAAGTAGGAAAGGTAGATGATATGAAGTTATATCTTCACAATGTCATCCAGTCCTTCCATGGCTGGTTTAAAGTAAAGGTAATGTCCTTCCCTTTGTGATGAGGCAGGCGCATTCGGATTGCCGAAGCCCATGTTTTCGCTGAGTCCGAAACGACTGATGTCTGAGCGAAAGGATGGTCCACTGATGTTTCCACAGGACCTGAATAGGCGTCGATATCATCGACATCCAACTGCCACTCTCGAAAGCTTCAATGGAGATGGTTTCACTGGAGGGTTTTTCTGGGTCCCTATACCTTCTCAGGAGGCAGTGGAGCCCTCCATCGGATTGTTTTTGTGTGTTCAGGGCCCTCGGGTCGTTTCTTGCTGAACCAAAACCTCCCACATGTGGCCTCTATACAGGATAAAGTAGTCAAAGCAAGAAAATATAAAACGTTTGGTGATTTCCACCGGGTAGTCATGGGATGTCATGGGTATAGAATAGTCCCCTTATTTCGAGACTTCCCCCTAGTAATCTGACATGAAGAGGCTACCCACGGGGAATTGGCTTGGGCAAAACTGTCTTGAACAACCTCTTGAAATCTCTTGAACCTGTGTTGCTGGAACCACCTATCACACCCCAAACACTGCAAGCATAGCTAGTATAATGTATCCGAGGGTGCGGTAGGATTTCTTCCTTCAACCACACCACCCATCGAAACCAACGACCATCCCTCCATTCCCTCCTTCTGATGCCGCAGCTTTCCACTGGTCGTCTTGGGCAAGCTCCTCCGACCAAATTGAGAAAACGCTGTGAGGCAAACATGATTATCCTATAGTCAACATGACCCGCTAGAACCCTCCATAATTGTATAATATGGTCATGGTCAATTCAGGATGCAAAAGTGGAACGAGCCCTTAAACACCACTGTCAATGTGTAGTGGTGGTAACTATTCTGATAATCCCTGCGACGATCGACACTGACTCGGAAATAGTGGATAGACACCGTGGTCAATGAAGGTTGTTTTTGCTCCTGAGTTTAAACTTTCTTCTCATTCGGGCTGCTGTTAATTGTTGCTAGCTGAGGCTGCTGGAACCTAAGTTTTGTGATAGTTTTGTGCATTTTACCATCTTGTTGTTCTAACGGAGCGGAAAAAAGGAAACTCAATCAATTAATTAGAAGAGCACACTTTCATAGCACATAAAACAAAACCAGGTGATGGATCATGCTGGATCAGTTGTTCCCCTGTCCATGCGGTCCCAATATGTTGACTGGTCATGAGTCATGGTACACAAAATGATTGAATTCAACAAAAGGAGCCCGTTGCCAGGACTTCCAAAGTATATCGGATATGCTTTGGTTCGACCCATCGCCCATCGTGGACACGCAGTCGGGAACCCCCAGTGGACCATCCGACACGCAGGGAAGTAGACCCCCCATGGAACTGACGGTCTCCAATTTGGTGTCTTCGCACATGAATTTACCCACTCAACTTTCACCTGGACAGAGTTTCCAGTGGCTTCTTTCATTTCCAAGAAAGCCTCTTTTGGACACGTCCTGGGCTTCAGCAAGACGAGCCCCCAAAGCAGAAGGCCATGTTCCGCTTCGATTCGGGCACGCAGAGTGGTCGCCAAGTTCTCCGGATAGACCTTCAAACAGATCCCAAACAATCTCTGGGACTGGAATAGTTGCACAAGTTTGACTAGTGTCCTTGTTCCAAGTAGCGATGCCCTTTGCTCCTAGTAGCGTCCTTGTTCCTGGTGGTTCTTTATAAGGCCTTAAGGGTCGGGAATTCTTCCAGTATGGAGTCCTTGGGGAATGATGTGAGTGGCCAGGACTCAAGAAGACCAAAAAGAGCCATCGCCAAGTGCCAAAAAGCAGACCATTCTCTGAAAATGTTGATCAAGCAGGGTTTTGGAGGGGTTTGACCTTGTTTCAAACTGTCAGGTGATAGGCAGATATGTCATAATACTATATAATACTGCTCTATAGGTGGTGTGTATTGAAACAAATCTACCCCCTCTTTGAGAGGGACGAACGGGATCAAATGATTGGACCGGGGGGGCGTCCAAGGGATTCACAGCAACTCAGCCATGTCAGCACGACGGCGACTAAGTCCCTGTGCTTCATGAGCATGGCTTCCGCAAAGATTGGCCGGCAGCAGAAGGAAAATGAGATTGCAAACATGTACCAGGACCCTCCAACAGGTCACCAATTGAGACCTTTTAGGGTCCAACAACCCTCAATTAACAGCCTGGCCAGGAGGGTGCTGGTACGTCTATATAGTTATTTTTCTGTCGCACCTGATTGGCCTCTCAGGCCTATCCAACCTTCATTGGCCTTGTGGAGCCCAACACATGGATACCCTGATCAAACAAAAACCTCGCCCAGTGTCCACATGCCAGGAGACTTCTGGGTCTTTCACTTCCAAGGCCAGCAAGAGCTGCTCCTACGACCGAAGCAATGGCCGGTCGTCCCAGCCTGCCGGTCTGCCAGCACGAAAGCACCGAGTAGTAGTCCGGCCATGGAACTTCGGGAGATGCGGTGTTTTGTATATGTTGTTGCTGTTGCTGCTGCTTTTGCTTAAAGGTACATAGCATCTGGTCACCCACTGTTATTTTTGTTTTTGTTGGTAAAGAAAGGTCTTCCCTGGCTCTGATTTGTTGAGCCATAGCCATGTTGAACAGTCATATACATCCAATAGGTCATATTGGAGATCTTATGATGCATTTGCCAATAAATTGGCATCCTCTGGCAATCGATGTGGTTGCCACAAAAGCAGGAACCCAAATTAGTTTGCAACATACCATAATGGTAAATTAGTGTGCAACCAACCATAGTAGCTAATAATTGGTTTCTACATGTTATGTGTATATATGGTGGTTGATCAATATTCTTTCATCCTGGAATGGCCATTCATCGCGGAAAAAAAGATATCTTTCGCGGATCTTTCGCGGCCTCATCGCGAAGCATGGTCCTACAACCATGTCTAGCTAACATGAGCCGGAACATGTCATAGTATCACAAAATAGGGAGAGACATCTTGCAGCATGACCCCAGTAGATGGTTGAATGTTTCCACAGCTACACAGTACTCAGGGTCACTTGCAGCATCTGTGCGGCAATTGTGCCAAATAGAGTCAGGCACAACTCAACCCAATCCTCGTGCCAGCTACCAACACAGGGTGATGCAACTTGGGGAATGTTGGGGGGCCTCAAGCTGGGAACCTAGACTTTAGCGGCACATTCGCGAAACTTTCGCGGATCTTTCGCAAAATTTCACGGGTGCTTTCCCCGGAACCCGTAACATTTGCAAACATCTGCGCTGCCCGTCAGAGAAGCTGCAGGTCGTTGCCTCACTATCAGGGCTGTGCCTACCCAGATTACTAGTCTGTGACAGTGGGGACAGGAATCGGAGAATCCTTTACGGACTGCCAGGGCTGGGCACGGAAATGTTGAGGCTTCAGTTCGTTGGTCTGTGACATATGGCGACACTTCCGCCCACTGGCTCTGCCGGAGGATTGCCTTGCGTTTCTATTCTTTGTCAGTCCGGTAGAAAGGAAAACAATGAAAGCGATGACCTTCGATAAATCTTTCGCAGAAAAAAAAGATACTTTCGCGAACCTCATCGCGAATCTTTCGCGGATGGTTCTAACAAGATCTGAAAGGCTGTTTTATATAAAACTCCTTACACGGGGTTTTCGATCAACTCCCATATAGATATTAAATTAAAGTTGAGTATGCTCATGACTCATAGCTGCACAATGAAAACCATTGCAAAAACACACGACACACACACAAACAAAAAAGGCAAAACTCTCACTGTGGATCTTAATGTCTTACGTATTGCTGCACCACAGGTTCATTTGGCCAGTTGGGAAACATCCGCCTGTGGAGTTACGAGCCATGTTGGCAATGTTTGCTTGAAAATTTAGGCAACTCAGCTTCTTTCCGACGAATTATAGCCGTCTTTGACCGTGTCTTGTCCCATCAGAATGGCACTTGGGAAGGAATCAAGCCAACAGCCTGCCAAGCTTTGCTTGCTGACGGATCTTCTAAAGAAGGCAAGTTCTTTCATCCCAACACCTGGCCCCCCATCGCCCCTCTTCTGACATCCCTGTCCTCTTCAGTGAGTGCAGCATTGCTGCAAGCAACCACCTGGCCTGGACGCACATGTTCGCTCGCCTCCGCCACGGTTTGCTCAATGTCCTGCGGGTAGAAGTTCTGCCCAGCGATGATGATCATATTCTTGATGCGTCCACACACGAACAACCTGCCGATGTCTTTTTGGTCAAAGTCCTGAAAGACCCTGACTTCAATACACTTGAATAAGCACGTCGAGTGAACATTTAAAAAGACGCATCGTTTTATCCTTTGATTTCGGTTTTCTGGATTTAGAGTAACAAATAATTAATTTCTTCTGTCCCCTAAGACTCGATGAGTCTTTGCTCCAAGATTTGGTTGTTCTAGCTCACTTGGGTGGGTGAGCGCCAAAAGAATGGGTGGGGCCTTTTGGACATCCAGTTTGACAGGGTGCGTTTGGTCTTCATGTACGATGTGGGTTGTGAGTATTTGTCTGACGGACGTATGACAGCCTTCTTCCCGCTGTTCTGTTGCTTCTTCGTACCAAATATGCCACATTCGATTCGATTCCTACAATGCCAAACGAACGATGTTTCTCTTCTTTGGTGGGGCCAAAACAACGTGATGATACTTGAAGTATAAACCATCAGCGCACTGAAAAAAGAACTCCACACAAAGAAGGACCTCCAATCAATAGAAGACAACACAACAAAAGTCATAAGCAAATGACGCTAATTATATGGTTTAAGATGTTTTAAGCTACAAAACCGTGGCCTACCTAGAACTTCATCCTCTAGCCGTTGGCCAAATCAACGACACACATACCCGTTTGTGGTTCACCGGTCCCACCTGCCCTCCCGCATGAAGCCGCGGTCGCCGGTCCGCAGGAAGCTCCGGGACGAGGAAAGCTCCACGTGTCCGTCCGAGGCGAGGCGAGCGTGGAAGGTCTCTCGCGTGGACTGAGGGTCCTTCCAATAGCCCAGGGCTTTACCTTGGGCGAATGAAGCAGTGTTTTCCAAGAGGGTCTTCAGGTGAAGGTGAAGGTCTTGAAAGCAGAATGAGTTGTCTTTGTTCTTTGGAATCGGCTCTTTTTTCCCGACAGAAAGCGAGGCCTGTTGGTCTAGTATGTGTTTGTTTTTCGAAAACTCACTTATGCACTACAGTCAATAAACATCATGTGTGGGGTATAGTGAATGGGGTCATAGTAGCCATGGTCATCGAACAAAAACACACCATGACACTTTTCTGACAACCGTGAAGAAGTATGATATTAGGACACCTCCTCAGGAAGTACAACGGATTGCTGGCCATTTGTTTTCCATGACTGTTTCTCCCCTGTCCTCAAGATGAGGACTGGAGCACCCCCTGCCTCCATTGAGTGAACTCACAGAACCTTAGAACTCCCAACGCCCTCCCACTTCCTTCGGCTCTCAGATACTGGGCGAATCCAACCAAATCTCTCCTTCCTCTCCTGCCACCGGCATGCCAAAACGACCCACCGGCCGACGGTCCGACTGCATGTCTGGCAGTGTAATTGTTTTTGTGCACTCTGCGCAGCTCTTGGAGTGCCCCTCCATGTGCTCCCAGAGTTTATTTCTGCCGACTTAGTCTACTCGACATGGATTTGATATGATTTGATGCTCCAAATGGAGCCTGAACTGGGTTCCTGCCATCGCTTGAGGGATGCATGGAGCAAACCCACTAATTAAACTCCACCAATCCAGTACTGGCTGTCAATCAAAGAGCCTAAGAGTTTCTATCAAATCTCAACGCTTAAGAAAGCCCATAGATCTGATCTGTAGAATCTGTATCATTCTCCACATCCTGAAGAAGATGAAGACCTACCACTCCATCTCCCCAAATCCTTCGGGCATCTCCATCTTGGTCTCTGGATCTACGATCTTCAGGCAAATGTCTTTCCATGGACTGCCACAATCCGCCACCTGCTCAACTCGAAGTGCAGCTGAAGGAGCAATCTGGGCCATGATTCACTCTGTCCCCAGTCACATTAAGAAATGGAAGGCAGGTAGAGTGACACCCTGTCCAAGAAGGAGCCAGAAAAGAACAAAAGCTAAAGTTGGAAATCCCAAAGATTGAAGGGCCTTATACTAGCATGCGCGTTTAGATAGTGAAATTAACTCTGTCCAAATCCTTGGCCAAGGCACCGTGCCCAACATGCCCTCAGGGCCTTCCACACCCCCAGAGGTCACTTTGACGACATGTTCAGCCAAGCCTCAACGCGCGACCGATCCATGTGCATCAATCGTCTCAAATACACAGCAATTCCACTCGCAGCCGTTTGCAAATGTTCCAGTTTAGGATCCAACATGGTCTGTTCGCACGCGTGTGGTTCAATTTCAGTTTGATGCAACATGATCCAAGAACATGTCTGGTTCAATCCCAGACCTAGAAAAAAATAACTGGAAGGTCTGTCCCTACCTGAGGAGGGTCTGTGGTTCCCTTGAACACCGTTTGTTTCTTCTCCCCCAGAAGTTCCATGTGGGACCCGGTCGTGAAACGGAAGGCTATGGAAGGCCCGGGTGGATAAGGGAGTGGGTGGGGAACAAGCGAGTGGAAACCACGACATGGAGAAAACCAGGTTGTAGAGGATGTTCAATGGATATGCCCATCATATTCCCCCACAGCACTCCAACCACGTATATGGCCAACAGCAGTTGCCTCAGGTGGCCTGTTCACCGCAAGACAAGGTGTAAGGCTAAGGACAATCGGTGTCACCTCGATCTGGGTAGGTGCCCAGGAGGGGTCTGTCCCTAATCTGAGGATGCTCTTAGCGGGATTCGGTCATAAAAAACGATGAACACCAAAAGATCGAAGGCTGGCCGCCCTTGACTGGACCGGAACCGAGAGTAGCATATATGACTCCTCTCTTGGGTGTTAGTTGTGGACTTTGTTGTTCTGGAATGCTTGGGTACTTCACTTGGTAGACATTGAAACCTTGCACAGGCACTGGATTCATTGGCCTGACGGAATCCTGAAAGAAAGACTCCTCGCTCAGTCCCAAAAATGGACTTTACGAACAACATAATAAAGATCCTATTTGCTGAGAATATATGAATTATATAACAATATAATATATACACATTTTTTAAAGATCCTATCATATATATTATATATTGACATATAATTTCAAGTCCCCCCACCGGACAAAAAGGCATGACCTAACAGCAACCAAGAGATCGAAATTTCAACACAAAGCAACCAATACTCAATACTCATAGCTTCTAACCAATACTTATAGAACATGTCCTTACATTCCAAAACAAAGAAACTTAATAGAACAAACTGACACTTACAGCAGTATATAGTTTATGACATCTTCTTCATCTTGAGATATCCAAACGTTCGAGCCAAGCCACCATAGCCTACCCCATACGCCCCCGCCGGCAAGCCGTAGCGCTTCCAGGTCGTCAGCATGGCCTCGCGCATGCGGACGTTGACGGGCTCAGCTGCATCCATGGCCATCCTAGGCACAAAAGTGTGCAGTTCAGGGAACCTATCGAATCACATCATGGACAAAGTTAACATAATTAACATAACTGACTAGTTCAAAGCAAATTTAATTGGATTGTTTTCAAGGTTGTGGCATAGAACGTGCATGTTTGAAAGGGCCACCATTGTTCTACATGGCAAAGTTCGCAAAGTTGGAAGAAGCTGAACGTCTCCACGAGAGATTCCTGATGACGACCACGATCACATACAGGACAAGAGTGGCATCCCCATTCGGAACATCAAGAGACCGAAGAGTGGCTGAAATACGATCGCTTCAACCCCCTGCTTCAACGGTCCTGGTGTCTCGTTCAAGCTAGTCTTAGTGACACCATGTGAAACCCAATACTCAAGGTTCTAGATTGAATCTTAGTAGGAGAGCCCTTCACCAATGGGTTGTGAGTTTTTTTCCTTCAATGGGATCGAACTGGGAGGTCTCCCTAGTTCAATACACACTCACTACAGACCGTTCTGTTAGACATGGTTTCACCAAAACTTGAGGCCAATGTATCAATGGTCAACCAGGGTATCCTGGTTCTGAGGCACTTCGCCAGATCATTCTTCTCTCCAAGGAACACCATGCTGGACAGGTCAAGATCCAATGCTCCCTTTGTCGCCTCTGCCGCCTCTATGCGTCGAGCCGTGAGCTGATAGGCAAAGTGGGGCGCGGCGGTGACCGTACCACGGTAGCGCGACATCAGCTGAGGCCACAGGAGTGGATCTTTGATGAAGTCCAAAGGGGAAAAACCCACCAATGTGACGTTCCAAACCTAAGGGACAAGAGTGATGTTTGTTCTTTGCATGCATGGTTTCCCTTCGCCACATCATTGAACTGTATTTTGCATCTGAAGAAAGACTCCACAAACGTGTCAAGCCCAAGCACATCCAAGCTTTCCACTCTTCACAGACTTGTGTGTTTTGCCTTCTGTTCATTTCTGAAATCACATCCTTCACGTCTCTCACCCAGCTGAAAGCTGAGGTAGGGGCTAGAGCGGTGAGATATGTCGCAACCAGGCCCATGTCATGGTAATGCGGCAACCAGGTGATTCCAATGGACTCCGGGCCAAACTGGGGCCGTGCCCGTTCGCGTCCCAAGTGACTGGGACTTCCAATGTGAGCACAGGGGATGAGGCAGTTGGCCATGAGGTTCCTAAGATTTTCTGGAAAAACACACACATTCACTGCGGGTTCTTGCACTCTTCACGACCGTTCACGTTTTAGGAACCGAGGGCATTGATCTGGTGAAACAAGTCCATGCACACACACGAGACCGCATCGCCAGGAAGGAACACGTTTGGAAAAAGAGGAATCCAAATTCAGCCACATCCAAGAGGTTACCAAACTCTGCAAAACTTAAGCACCACTATTTTTTTGATCTTTTGGGGTAGTAGCAGCTATAGCAGAACAACAGTGCATCCTGTCTTGCTGCAATTCCAGCATGTTCATCACATCGAGCTGGGAACAACAAAAACAAAACATTCTCCACATTGCATCTTCAAGTTAAGAGAGCCCCTGAGAATGTTGACATACTATTTTCAATGATGCTTTCAGATGTCACGATGTCCCAATGGTCACCATCAACCCGGCGGACGATGACCTTGCGGACTTCACACTAGAGACCGGGTTTGAAGGAAGAGCTATCTGGAAGCAACAGATTGCCTTGGATGCCTTAGGTACGGTACTCCTACTATAGTCTCACCACTCAATAAAAATAGTATGTCAAACCCAAAAAAACATCGAAAATCCAGCAGGTTCCCAGAATTTTCCATGCTTTTCTTATGTCGACATTCTAGTTCGATGGCGGCATCGTCCACCCTCAGCCACCCCTTGCTTCTTCCCGACTGACTGGAGCCAAGCTTCGCGTGTGAAACCATGACACCCTTCGCGTCTCCAGTCGATCCTGAGGTGTACTGCAAAAAGGCCAGTTCCTCAAGGCAAAGCCGCTGGCACCACGGCTGGAACTGCGGGATTTCCGCTGTTTCTCTCACTTACCTGAGAAGCTGCAAAACGAAAGCCTGCGTTTTTACTTTCGAGTGTGCTTTCTCAGGCCACCCCCCGGAATCCCCCTTCTTACTCAGCTGGCGCAGGGATAGATAATTGCCCAGGGAAGCTACAATTCAGTTGCCAGGTATAGTACTTCAAGTTCCCTTTCCGTCAACCGCTCGATAACCTTTACACACGCACAGCAATCCACAGCTTTGAAGTCTCATTCTTGCATTGAACTTATATAGGTGTGTAAGAGGTATAGCAACATAGCATTTATACGGACCCAGGGTAGCTACAATTCTGTTGCCAGGTATCCCACTTCAATTTCCGTACCCTGGGTCCGCGCGCGCGCGCGCGCTACCCAGGGCAGCTACAAGGCAGTTGGCAGGTATACCCAGGGTAGCTACAATTCAGTTGCCAAGTATAGCACTGCAACCAACCGAAGACAATTGCATTTCTTAAAATCACAAAAAAGCACCTCCAAAACCTTGCTTCCGTGCACCCCTACACACCACCTACTTTCGAGTGTGCTTTCTCAGGCCACCCCCCCGAACCCCCCTTCTTACTCAGCTGGCGCCTTCCCAGGTATAGATACCCAGGGTAGCTACAATTTAGTTGCCTGGTAAAGTACTTCCAGTTCCCTTTCCGTCAGCCGCTCGATAACCTTTACACATGCACAGCAAACCACAGCTTTGAAGTCTCATTCGTGCTTTGAACTAATATAGGTGTGTAAGAGGTATAGCAACATAGCATTTATACCGACCCAGGGTAGCTACAATTCTGTTCCCAGGTATCCCGCTTCAATTTCACTACCCTGGGTCCGCGCGCGCGCGCGCGCGCGCGCCTTGCTGGCTCCCGGCTGCCCGTGACTTAGGCGGGCAACAGAACACCGAAGTGCGCGGACCCAGGGTACGGAAATTGAAGTGGGATACCTGGCAACAGAATTGTAGCTACCCTGGGTCTGTATAAATGCTATGTTGCTATACCTCTTACATACCTATATAAGTTCAATGCAAGAATGAGACTTCAAAGCTGCGGATTGCTGTGCGTGTGTAAAAGCTATCGAGCGGTTGATGGAAAGGGAACTTGAAGTACTATACCTGGTAACTGCTCTATAGCTACCTGGGTATCGATACCTGGCAAGGTGCCAACTACACCTTACCATTCAGATGATGCAAATGATGCAAATTGCATTTCTTGCATCACCACCCCTCAAAAATCACCTCCAACACAACCTCAAAAAACCTTCCATCCGTCCACCCTCCTACCCCAGCATGTGCCGAGTTTACGTGTACCTTTTGCGGGCCACCCCTTCCAGACCCCCTAACTACTCACTTCGTTCGCCAAGCACAACTCAGCTGGCGCCTTCTACGAAGAGCTGGCTTTCGTAACTTGCAAGAGGGGTTGACCTGAAATGGGCTTCGGATTGGGATTTCATGGGATTTCATGATGATAGTCTGAATATATGAGGCCCCTGCATGCCCCTGCTGGATATCAGTGTGTGCTCCAAGTGTTTTTGAGCGGGATATGGGAGGATTGCATTCTCCAACGAGAACCCCTATGGCCCATGGCATTCAAAAAACAACGCTCCCAAAGATGGTTTCTTCTTGGAGGTCCTCCGCAGAGATCTTCTTCGGAAGCTCGGCGCTGATCGTCGGGCCCTTCAAATTGCTTGTGACTTTCCAGATGATGGACGGCCATTCAGCGTTGAAGAACACGGCCGTGGACCACCAATATCTGGAACTGGTCAAAGCAACCTCACAGAGAAGAGTTTCGGGTGAAGAGTGGGGTGAAGGCAATTTCTGAGGGTGTGGCTGATTTGGATGCAGGAGCACGTTGGCCTTTTGTCTTGCCAGATGGCCATGGACTAGGATATGTATACATGTCCAGATTGCAACTGATGCATGCCAAGGTACTGAACAAATGCAAAGTGAACATGCATTGGCTACATAATCTACTAGCTCAATAGAAAAACCACAACATCTTTAGTTAATGGTATCACAAGAACCCTCAAGATGGGAAACAAAGGAACTAGGAGATCATAGGAGATCTGCCAGATCTCAGCCTTTGTCAACCGCGTGATTCGTCCTTGGAGATCAAACTACTGTATTTAGAGGGAATACGGCCAAGTACTGGGAAGGGAAGAGTAGTAAGGCCAAGTAATAGTGATGGGTAATACCGGGAAATAGTGATAGGCAGTGATAGGTTAGTTTGTATGCGGCAGGTCTCCACCTTTAACTATCCAGCGCAACACAGTTACATGGGCCAAACAAGATCAACGGGACCACCGATTTGCAACCTAACCGGTTGTCCATGTTTGTCTCACTGATCTACACACTTTGAATACATTCAACAATAGCTTCAAATTCTCATCCGAGACAGATCACAAATCCATACAAATCCAATTCGTGGGGAATTCTCTCACCCATCGAATTGCCATGCGCTGCAGCAGCTGCAAAACAATTTCCATGTAACTGTAGTTCCTCATAGTTCCTCCCAAGATCTGCCAACCTTCCAACCCCTCCAAAGCACAGAACGTCCCTGCCTGAGCCCCACAATCCGCTTGCACCGCTGTGAACTTCCGCAGCGAGCTGCCGGAGCTGGGCATCGGTGGATAGACCACCACGGCGACGCGGCCGGACGCCAGGCAGCCGAGGAAGGCGTCGAAGAAGTCCAAGCCAGGTTCGTAGACGAGTAGGATGCGGTCGCCAAAACCGCTCACGTCGAATAACCTCGAAGTTCGAAGTGATTTGCGGCGTCATCATTCAAGCAGGGCGAGATAGGTGGAGGCAAGCAGGGGTCCAAGAACACTTCTTCGTTTTGGTTCTATGCTTGTTGGGTCAACCCCGCGGGACTTCTGCAACAAACGACAGAACCCGGCTTCGTTTGCACCATGCTGAGAAAACACCGCCGTATCTTATGGTGGTTATCAAAGACGACTTGACCCAATTCACGGCATCCATGGCAAATTGATTGCTCCCCTATGTTTAGATTGTTTATAGGGTCTATGTCATCAGTTTGTGGGGGGACACCATGTCTGCGAACGACGGGTCTTCTGCTTTCGGGCCACAACTGCGCCACAGCCCACGATAGCCTCTGCAGCTCTGCAAAGGACCGTGTCTCTGCGACGTTCCCAGCGGCATCGCAGAAAGTGAAGGCCCTCTTCTCTGGCGTCTTCGAAGCCCAGTAGTTCACCTCAGAAGCCGAGTGGGTACCCTCAGCGCTCGCCCAGGTGCCACGCGGAAAAAAGACGAAACATCCGCCCAGGTCCGCCCGGTCCGAAGGCTTTTTGGAGCTGAGACTGAGAGCTGACCGTTGCGGCTCGGTTCCCGCGGCTCGTTGTTCTTGTTGCTTCGGTTCCCCACGACCCTTGGGACCAGCGGAGTCGCATACGGGAGGTCCAGTGGACTCAGCGGTGAGTGGTAGTGGTCACACGAGACGTGTGTCTCACGGTGGTAATACCGCAATACCAGCTAATGTAGACTCTTGATTAAAGACCCCCTCCGTTTGAATTGAAACACCTCTTTATATGGGGTGTGTGTTAATCGAGAGTCTACATTAGTAAATACTGCGCGATATCAATGACACAGTACGACACTTATATATTATTTTTGGGGAATACCGCTAGCAACAAACAGCCGGTCCAGAAGAACATAGGCTGCAGGTGGCTCCGGATCAAACTCTCCACTTCAACGGTGTCAACGCACTCTCCACTTGAGACCTTCAGAGACTGTGTATGTCATCACGTACTGCAACTATATGTGCAACTATCGTTTACGCTTTGCACGCTTGGGAGGGGCGTCGTCCAACGCAATTTGCATGCAATTTCCAACCCAAAGCAACGGCTTCCATGTCATTGAATCTGAAGTGTTCTGTCCCAGGCGCAGAATCATTCACGGTTTGGCAATCAGAGAGCTGCAGCGTTGACTGGTCCTCTCTGACCTCTCCTTCTTTCTTCTCCATCAAGTAAGCTTCGGCCCCTCCAGCCGCCTGCGTCTGCCTTTTGGAGGCAAAGTCACACCAAAAAAGGACCATCAGTAGCAGCAGGGTCGCAAGTAAACAAAGCCACATGCCCCAGCGGTGTGTGGGCATCTGGAGCTGTTGCTGCTGAAGAGAAACAGCTCCCCTCTGCAATAAGAGCAAGTTGGAGTCAGCCTGACAGTCCTGTTCAAGACCGCCCCCACACCCTTCAGTTGCCAACAAAAGCAGCTCAAGTAGAACGTAGAGCCATGGCAGAACTGGCGACATGGCACTAAAAAATAATGGGCAATGGATGCGTTTAAGAACGGATCATTCATGAGCGAGGGATGGGATTCGGAATTCTCCCCCAAAGCTTGGCTTAGCGACACTTTTGGAGGGATCTCTTTAGCTTTCAAGGGAGCCTTCTCACAGATTGATGTCGAGCATATTTGAAGGAATTCGGGGCATGTAGCAGCGTAGCATGTCGCTATGCCATGGACTCTGCACCCTTGGATGTCGCCCCGCGAAAGTGAAGCTGGACAAAGCAGAAATGAGGGCATCTCAGGCACTGGTAGGACGACGTTATTGGTGCCGCTGACACGGCCTCCTAGCTTTACTAATAGATATAGTGTGTATATATATATATATACCATCACCCTCCAACAGGTCTCCTTTGGAGGGTTGTAAGGCCCTAAGAGGTCTGTTTTTTTGTTTTGAGCAATACAAACATGAACCCATGGGCGCCATCCAATCTTTCTTAGGCCAAGTGGGCTTCCACAGACGCCTGTTCAGGTTTGGAGGATCCACTGAACCAGTGTGTCCACTTTGGAGCCTGATGGAACACAAAAGGATTGTAGCAAAAGATCTACACCTGCAAACTCAATGGCACACAGGTAACCTGGTGTTTCTTCGAATTCATCTCCGCCTCCCAAGCAGCTGTTACAAAATATACAAATGCATAGCTGCATAGCTGCATAAATATAGCTACAGTGTCATCGCCATGTTCTGGGTGTAACTCTGTGCTGTTGATCTAACGACACAGTTCCAAAGGGGTCTCACCATGTGCAAGGAGGTGCGGGGGTAGCGCTTGGCATGTATGAAGGCTCAAGACATACGTTTGGATACTTTGAGGCTGAAGACAGGACAGGATGGCAAGAACGAACAGCAGGACACAACAATATATCAAATAAATTTAACAACCAGAAGTCACAAAGGAGTGCTTAATGGAGGTTCGGGGTGCCCATTATCCACTCACTTAGGGTTTGTCAACATTGTTGGGTTTTCAGCACGGTGGGACACGTCGCCTTTCCAGAGCCATACGGTACGAAGATGACATCATTCAAAGGAGATGCACGTGAGCATTGGGACACGTCCTCAGGTTTTCTGATGAAGGTGCTTCATCCAGCAACTAAGGGCATCAGTATTTAATAACTGCCGGGCATCGCACTGATGGATGTTCAGAAGCTCATGAGGATTGGACTACATCTATCCCTCCACTCCCTTACCCAGCCCGGGAGACCCGGGTGAACCCCGAGGTCTCCGACCCCGGTGCTCACCCTCTCGCAAATGATCTGCCTGGGATGAAAAGCGGAGGGACAGGGGTTGTTAGGGCGGATTCGGAGATCTCCCTCCTGCTCTTGTGGCGCCTGGTGTATTCTTGACTTTATATAGTCTATAGCTCTTGTATGATAAATGGAGAGTGAACAGAGTAGAGACATGTAGAGACATCCTCAAGTAATAACATGATTGGCAGCAAACAGCAAAGGAAACTCTGGCCCAAACAAATGCTGGTCTCACCTACCCGGAAGACGTGGAGGCCACCGATCCATCTGTGTGGCATTCTCTGGAGGCCAATTCTGTGTGGCCAATTTCCAGGGTTGAACCAATTCCACTTGGTTCGGTTGCCCAAGTCATAGTTCAAAAGATGCGCGCGGGAGCACGTCAATGATTTGGGCAAACCTGAAATATTCAAATCAAAGAAAAGTAGGCTGAGAAGGAAATCTGATCATGTGCAATTGTCCAATGGTTTCCAAGACCCAATGGAGATCTGTGAATGTTCTATGGTTTCAAAGGCCCTAGACCAGCCTTACGTGAAAATCAAGCAACATTACCAGGATCAAACGATCCATGAAGGGTTGAACATATACAACAAGAATTGCCCAATGTCTTTTCCTGTTCCCCGCTTCCCACCGTCCGTGTTCCTAACACCTTAACTTTCACCCACCATGTGTGGAAAATCCTCAAAGTAGGAAAAAACAATGCGGTCAAGGGGGGTTTGCTCACCACGATCGTCCCTGAAAATCCTACAATGTAGCCAACCTCTCACAACGCAGCGGAAATTCACATCAAATTTATAGCCACCTCATTTGTCTTGACCCGTCTTCCTTCTCGAAACTGGTTGTCCAAAACTGACATGAACTGATCTTTTTATACTAGCTAACTAATGTTGGTTCTGTCCTGGTCGGTCCGTGTCAAAGTCCCTCAGAGATTCCAACACATCTCCTGTTTGAATTCACCACATGCGGCTGGTTCAGCCGACGGGCCTCCTGCCATGGCAGCATCGCGCCCTGTGGCAAACCCAATTTCCTGCAGTCGAGTCGGTGGGCATCGACACCTGTGGGAGCCTGGTGCCAGTGGAAAGCACGCCTGAGAAACACGTGTGCTAGGGAATTGTGTGGAGAAAATCCATTACGTTGTTTGAAACGGGAGATGCGATCCGGTCGGATTCGATGCAATCTGAAACATTGTTCAGCACAATCAAACAATGTCCAAATTTGCTTGACTGGACATCTGGCCGGTGTGACCTTCAAAACTCTGTTGGTGGTTCCCAAGAATGAATATATATATATATATGATTTCACATGTTAGATAATAACACATATGCATGAACATCTGAACACATATGTATAATATATATATACTGTATACTATTGTAATATATAACATATATGTACCTAGACCTGAGGTAAAACGCGTGTTGTTTCAATTTGTCAGACGGTATGAAGTGATAAATCCAAACTTGGTCAAGTTGATACAACAAATCCACAACCCACTTCAAAACCTGCTTGTGCAAGAATCCACAACTCAAAATCATGCTTAGCAAACTGTTTACAAGATGTCCATGGTAAATTCACCAAACCCTTCTGCATCAGTGAGGCACTGGCTTCACCAACAAGGAAACTGTGCCACGGCTGCCGTTCATTTTCGAGTGGTTCCGACACCGCAAAGGAACAACCAATGTAGCAAACCTGAGACTTTAGACCGGTGAACACATCAGCACCTGGCCAAGGCAAACATGTGAACTGCCATCGAAATTGCCATCCCAAAAAAACAAGGGAGCTGGGCTGAGCTGGGTGTCATATGGTGTCACATTGAGCCGATTCCGTGGTGTTTCGTTGAATTGTTGCGTTGTGTTTTGTGGTTTTCACTATTGCGTTTGAGGCGTTGTGTTGTTTGTGCAATTGAGGTTCTTACGGTTTCAAGATGTTTCAAGACAAACAAACACCATTATAAAACGGTTCCAAATCTAGAACATAAAGCTTGAAGCTTGATTCGGAACAAAATCATAACCAAAAGCAGAAAACCAATGTTTTTGATCTGCTTCAGGAATTCCTTCCGGTGGGAAGACGAGGGTTTATTAGCACCACGCAGTGCAAGCTGGAAATGACTTCAACATGTAAATATATACATTACATTTCATTTTGTGCCACCTTCCAAGCGCTTCCAAGCACCAATCATCTAAACGTTGGGCGCTCATGTTTCGATCGTGGTGCAACACATCGCCAGCGGCCGCGGTCGCCCAACTCGGGTCCTTCGTTCCTCCTGGAGGGAGGGAAACAAAGGTGGAGGGACCGCAGGTGACCAAAAGTACCGGTTTCCCCAGAACGCAACACCCGTGCCCTCTCTCTCATTGGATTTCAGTGGATGTAGGCCATGCACACAGGGTCACCCGGGGTCCAAATGAATGAGTCATCCACGGGTCCACGCGGATCATCACGGGTCCACGCGGACAGGTCCGCTCGTCCGACCCGGGCTCGTCCCGGACTCCACTCCCAGCCGCCACGGCGAGTTCCTCTAGTTCCTTCTCGCGCCTCGGATCCATGTGCTTCGTCGGCGACGGTGACCGTTCCGCTGGAGGGATCCGTCTGAAACAGGAAGACGATCACATGCGTTGGAGTGTGTTGGAGTCCATGAGTAGATGTTCGCGTTTCTCTCTTTGAGGCTCTGTTGAATATCACATGAAGTTCCTCACCAGTCATCATGACCGGACCTGAGCCTTTTGTCGAACATTGCTTGAATTGTTCCTTGTCTTGTTGAAGCGATCTTGTCGAAGCACCACCGGGCAGTGACTGCAAACCATGGTGACTGCAGTCTGATTCATGGGACTGATGGTAAGTAGCAGTAACACATCCAGAGCACGTCACCACTAATTCCGGTGTCAAAACGTCATGGCTTCGTCTGGACGGATGCATTGAAGCCACTGGCAATCAACGTGAATTGTCACTCAAAAACTCATCACCCCTACATATTCTGTAAAAGAAACTCCCCTAATTTCGGTGAATTTGCTTGGACAAATGTCAGTGATGATAGCGCAGAGCGGTCACCGAACAGTCACCGCAGAGCGCCGGTCTAATGCACTGTGCAGGTCGAGGGGGCTTGAGTTGTCCCTGCAAAGAGAATGGCCTGCCGGAGACATACCGTGACCATACCCAAACAATCCTTTAAAAACAACGGACAGGACCTTCAAAGAAACCATTGAGATCCCAGAATGAAGCCACTACAAGCATCTAAAAGCCACTTATGTCCCTAAAAAGGGCACAAACAAAGACTCCAAAGAGAGCTGCTAGGCTCCTCTATCTTCCCAACGATGGCATCCACTAGGCCCCTTGGCTTGTCCACTTGACGTCGATTGGGGAGCTTCTCGCCTCCGCAAGCATGGGTGGATCGAAGAAGGTGGATCGTTGGGCGGTTTGAATCGTTAGCTCGTTGAAGGATTCACCTTGCATATTATAGTGGTTACTATATTAGTCACAATATATAGTGGTTCACAATATATCGAATATATAGGTTTTAGAGTGGTTGAAGATTTGTGAGTTACGATATAATATATATAGATAGACCCCAGGGTTCAAAAGACGATTTTAAAAATAGTTCTTCCAGAAGCAACGGTTTGTCGAAATAGTCGCAAAGCTCCGACACCCGATCAACACAACCTCTCCACATCCCAAAACAACAGCAGCTGCATACAGATGCGACCGCAGAGCCCTTTTCACTACCCACGGCCCCTAGAGAGTCGCTCGTGCAC